GCATTTGCCTTTTTTATTAAGTATATAAAATTGTGACTTTTTTATTAGCTCAAGCCTTTTACTTAGCAACAGTATAAAAGGATAATTCAAGCATATTATTTGACCTTTTGACATTGATATTACAAACCGCAGAATGTCTAGCTCATTTTACACCTTTTATTTTTATACTTCCTTTTGTCTGTATGCAAGGTAGAACTGCTTCTTAAGAAGAATGTGGTCAATTACAAAGAAATGTTTGTAGAGAGAAAAACATCTCCTAATATGGAAACTTGGAGTGAGCTTTCCTGTGTGTGTCTACTGTATAAAACTCATTGCATCTCAGGGAGTTCGATTTTTGTAGATCTGTATGAGAGATTGCTCTCAGATCTGCATGATCTATCCTCCTCATGCACATGAATAAAGGACTCGGCTTGACCACACCTAACCTGAGTGAAGACTTTTCTTCGACACCTCAAAGCATAGACTCAGCAATCAACCGATACCGTATCATGGAGTAACAAACACCTACTGTAGATGCAATGCAGCAAGAGCAATTAATACAATGCTGGCTATAGGGGATACCAAAATAGCAAGACCATTGACCTAAAACAACTGGCATTGCCTCAATTTAGCACCATACCAATCAATACAAATCAATACATTTCACGCATAATTCTAAGTGCGTCTCATTGACTTAAATTCACTATGACTTGTTCTGGAAAGAATTTTCTTTCTGATTGTTACTGTAGCAACTGGCAGCTGTAGAATGCATGAATTTTCCAATAAATTAAATAAAGTAATTTTTTAGAAAGTGGTAGGTTTGACCCATTTAATGTGATATTTGTTTTCGTTTATATACAGTATCTGATACAGCGTTTAAATGTTTAGTCAGCTCTTCTGTGAGAGATGTCGGAGTTAAAAGACAATGGAAGCTTACCAGACATAAAGTACAGTGTCACATTTCTTGAGAAAACATGTTACAGTAAATGTGTGTTACTTCTCTTTCATAAATAGTTTACCCTAAAACCTTTAACATAATACATAAAAGTATATTCCTAAGCAGCCTAATTTTGATTTATGAATAGAGAAACAATAGGTGTACAGCAATGGAAATTAATTACAATAAGAAACCAAAACAGTAAACAACCCATAATAAACATTGTCTACAAAGAGTAGAGCTGAAATGATTGTGTTGCAGGCCTGAGGACATGTCTTGACATTATGTAAAGAAGATGAAGAAAAATAATCAATTCTTCAGCCTTGGTAAGTGAATTTAACCTTCCTCCAACTGTTTATCTACAGAAACATTATTGCAGAAGAAACAACAGACATAGACCAGTGAGTGAAATGCTTTCCAGGTATCATACAAATAAGGTGGCAAATTTGGTAATAAAGAAAATAAATGTATTTTTCTTGAGTCTGCAATAAGAAATTCTGACCTAAGCAATACTGATAAATATTTGTTGACTTCTTTAAATACTGAATTTCTTTCAGTATCCCACAAAAAGTATTGAAACAAAGCCATCCCAGAAATGTTCTTTTTTCACTCTGGACTAGATAGTGTAAAATACAGCTTTTAGTTATACAGTTGTTTAAATTCATTCATTTATGATAACTCAACAATAACAATATCTCAACAGAGGGAAAAAACAGGGTTTTTGTGTGCCTGTGCATATAAAAGAGAATATGAGCAGGGCAGTGCCTAACCTGACAACAGCGCTTCAAAGATTAAATATGTCAAATATATAATATGAAATATGAGATGCCAACTTCATTTAATTTAATCCTTCCTTACAACTATTCACAAAAAAAGCCAAACGTAAGGCTGTCATCTCAAAGAGATAATTATCTAAACCAGTAGTCAATGGCAGGCTGTTTAGGAAGCTAGGGATAAACAAGGGATTAACTTAAATAAACTAGTTTAAGAAACAATATTTATTTTTAAAATCTGGTAAGGTAACGAGCACTTGTGCCTTGCAGAACACTGCCATAGTTTAACAAATAAATGGCAATACTTCCCATACAAAAAATTAGTCATCATAAAAATTGTTGCATGTTGTTTCTGTATTATCACAACACTAAAGGATTTAAAAATTCAACTATTGGGGAAGATATAAAGTTGAGTAACAATAATATACTCTTCAGTGTATGAAACAAACTGACAAATTAATATAATAATTTATATTAATGTAGTAACAGTAACAGTAAGACATGATATTTTTTAACTTCAACATGTTTCACAAAACAAAGATAAACCATACTGGCATGTACAGTAGCATATGCTCTCTACTCTGAAACACTTCTATGATCACCAGTAATGCAGATATCATGGTAGCAATAGTATCTACTGGAATTTTTAAGTTGGTATAACA